CACGAGTCACCAACGGCGGCTCGGAAATAACGATCTGACATGTCCATGACGGGCTATTAGCGAGTCATGTACATATGTACGGTTTAGGGTGGACAAGAGAGGAAGGGGGGAAAATTAGAAGGGAAAAAGTTTAATACAACGTTCCTCTAATTGTTGAAAATGAGATAGGCAAGATTAGGTAGGTACGGTGCCTAAGCAGGCAAGACGCAGATGGTCCGTTGGTGCATTTGAACATTCAATATGATTTAATTGAATTAAGTTTATCCCCGCAGTTGCATCAAACCCGGGAGAATGTTGCTTTCACGCACTACGCCTTCACACCGGTAAACGGGGAACCTGATTCCCGAACGGCTGGGCATTGGATATTAGTATGGGGGCCTGCTGCAACTGCACTGCCAACGGTGCGTTGTGCTGGGAGAGACGTAGCGGAGCGCCTTGTGGATACCCAGGTACATAAGGTATCAAGGTCCACTACATGTACCTAGTAGATACGAGGCACATACCTACATGTCTACCTAGGTACTTGTGTACATATATGCAGCTAGGGATATCGAAACTTAATGGTATGAAGTTAGCACCTATCATTGCCCGTTATTTAATGATATGAGGGTAAGTGCGGGTTATGTGGATTATGTGGATTATGGATCCAACCAGATGGGACCGAAGCAAAATACCAATCTTCCCTTCTATTTCTCTCCACTACAATTCCAATATCGACTTCTCACATAACGCGCAACCCCCAAAAGTAACCTAACCTAGCAACTTAGCTCTCTATTAAACTTCGCAATATCCTATCTCACATCTTTGATGGTGTCTGCCACCAAACCCGACTTAGACACTTCTGCAGCAACGTCAGGCTTTAGTTAGACATGTGGTCCTTCGTCTTCGAATCAATATTAGCAACCCGTCTACCTTAATATATCATTAGTGGAGATCTCGTGGGTTGACTTACCAACAGCTAGCCTCCCCTTTCGAACCCCTAGCTAGCGCATGATGCTATGTGCAAGCCCGCTTGTCGGTCGAGAATCCGACAAAATGGGAACCATACCCGGGGCTCCTCTCCTCTATGTATGTATTATGTTTTCTACATAGGTAGTACTAAGTTTCTACCAGGATAAAATTAGGTATGTATTGTAGGTTAGGTACGTATGCGCACACATCCAACTGATGAACGTAGAACGACAATTCAACTGCCTCGTTGATCTTCCGTGCTGAGGACCGTACTTAACATACCCATTTCGCCAGAGAACCATCTTCAGGGATAACTGCGAGGCCTACATACCTACCTAACCTACATAGGTACATATTCCTGGCCCCGCACAACTACTATATTCAGCTGTGTTATCTTATTAGACAGATATTTCGGCACCTTATGGATAGACGGGAATCCGTGGTCAGTAATGACACGTTGTTCGATATCGTTGTCTTCCTACTAACTTCGATATTACCAATCTGCCGATATGCTATGGATTTCGCCTCATTAAAGTATACATTCTTACGATTTACACAACCTTCCGAGAGGGGCTAAACATTCGCAATCGGGGTTCTTTCTGATGCGCCGCCGCTGTTGATAGATATCCCCTCTTTACTACTGCATTTGGGAGAAAAGTAATAAGTCGACGGCTCTGTAGCGCAGTACCCCGCCCACCATGCAACCCTACGTAGAGAACGTAGAGATTGTTCAATCTGTATGTATGTACTCAGCTAGGTGTTCAGAAGAATAGATGTCATCCGCCCTACAGCATCTGCGGAAGAAAACCGGGAAGCATCTTCAACACGCACAATCCACTCCGTCTCCGAACCCCGACTTTTATTAGCGGTCTCGTCCCTTCTTCGTTTAGCCAAGCATACATATTAATGGTTCCAGTCGATTCAAACTGGCTCCGAGGACTGCCCCAGATGAATCGCTGTGGGTAGAACGGTAGAATGGAAGCTTGAGGTTCCAGTCGGCAAACAATGATTTACGGTTTGCATGATTTCTCGTCCAAGACACATCACCCCATACGTCCCTAGTGGCAAAGCCATTTGGGTTCTCCCAAGTTCCAACAAATTGGATTCTCGGCCCGTTGGTTGGTATGGGGCCACTCGTGCTCTAGCATCCCAATGCACTGGAACGCACCATCCTGGCTGGTCGTGAAACCACACTGTACATAGTACTACCTGTACATACGGGCGATGTGCATCTGCGTCCTTGGGACTTGGAGCTTGGAGCTTGGGAAATCAGCCACTGGACCATCCGCACGTATGTGTCATCAAATATAGTTATTTCTCATTCTCGCGTCAGTCCCGGCTGTTTGGCGCAGCAACGCCGCAGACTCGCATTTACCTTCTCCTCTTCCCGCATCCTTTTCTCGAGAAAGACCCAGCTGTTCGGTACGGCTTTGATCTCAATGGACAATATTTTCTTCACCGCTTCCATCCTGCGAGGTACCCAAGAGTCACCTTGGTCGCTTTAGATTTAGTCACCGACTAGCAAGGGGATACTATCGGAATGCAGAATCCTTTCTTCCGTAGTTGAGTTGTCAATTTATGTATGCGTGTAGTTACTCCGTGATGAGGAGTCTGTTACTACGCATGATACTAATTAAATCGAAAGCTACGGTATGGAGATAGAATCGACACATTATTGTATTCGCTATAGTAATATCCATCTATAAGCGCGCCTATAGGCCGAGGCAATGACGTGCATATGAATATAGTCAGATCGGATGTATCCCGGAACGTCGAATGACCCAAGCTGTTAAGATACTCACCCGCTGCTAATTTGTTTTCCAGATTCCAGTTGAGTTGAGTTGAGTTGAGTTGAGGTGCTCCAAAACGCCATCCGTCAAGAGACAGATGAGTGTTTGGATGCAGCAAAATCGTACCATTTCCAACTACCTTACTACGTCACACTTTTACCCGCTGTCACATTGAGGGATAATACTCCGAATCCAGCTCAGAGACATACATGACTTTTATAGGTCGGCTGATACTCTGCATAGTTATTATGGCTGCCACATTTACCGAGCTGCGTTGCTCATTTCCTAGGCGCCTCATCAGATCATCAAATGACCAAGCCCCAGTACCGACCCTCATATTCGGGTCCCATCTGTCGGTGCCAGGAAACCAGCAGATTCCGGTGTCAGATTGATGGGAACTGTCGTCGGGTCGTTGCATGAAGCCATGAGCCAGCCAAGCGGTGTTATCCAAAGTATGACATCCATGTTACACTGCAGTAAGAGCAATATCATCTTAAAATGCCCTCCTTAACCCACACCGAAACGGTGTAAAATATCTAGTTGGTGCGAACTGCATGCTGGCCTAGAGATGGCTTAGATAAGAAGAAATTGCTACCATAGTAGGCGACGCGTTTATGCGTCCAAAGTCCGCTTGACTATTCGACAGCTTATAGCAATTGGCTTAAGTTCTTCCGGGGTTATTGGTACAACACCCCTATTATTGTCACACAATATACGGTGTGCTTCCAGATATGGAGTACCGGGGTCATCGTTACTTGTACAGGTCAAACCCTTTATTGTAGGGCTCTAGTGAACGTAGCTGGAGATAAAGTACAAGGTATGAGACAACTTAGTAAGGGTAATCATCACTTTACCCAACCAATATGCCTAATCTTGCTTGTAGTCATGAGGAGTCCTACCATGTATACATCATCTTAAAGTCTTTCATCCTGATCAAAGTGCATTTACAATAGCCTAGGCGATCTGGGCCGATATACATAGCATCACGGCTGCTACCAATAGCATGCTTAGATCTGCCGACGATACTAGGTTCGCAAAGTTCATTTATTCCCAGATGTCTACCTCGGCTTCGCAGTTTTCCCTTGGAGAGCATCAACCCGGATTAGCCGGTAGTCTACCAGTGACCAGCGTAGCCCTACTTACCTCGCATACATGTTTCAAGTAGCACATTCTGGCTTCACGCGAAGCGTATTTTCAAACCCGCGGCCATCATATATAGGGGTTACTTCAGCATCGGATCCTTCAGGACACTTTTATGGGAATAGACGTGGTAATTATCGTGACCCGCCCATCACAAAACAGCCTGGAAGCTTAGACGTTGTGCCTGCTTGTTTAATGACTTTCACTTAATGTCACCTCCAGTTAGAACACATCGTATTCATTCATAACCCGACGTTTCGGACTGAGTCTATTAGGGTTCTAAGATACCGCCTTCGGTCATCTCCCCGATGTCTCACAAGTCCGGCAAGACAATCCCAGCATGAAGCATTTATGACCTATAGAAGACACAAATGCCCAGGTACTCATCAGTGGATGTATAAAGCCCAAGCCATCCGGGTTACAACGTGTAACAACATTATAGGAAGATATCGTTTGATTATCGCGTTTGCTAAACTAGACAACGTTTCAAAAAGATGGTGCACAGCGTCCTCGTCGCTTAATCATGCCGAATAAGAATAGATTACAACGGCCAAGTGTTTTCTTTGCAATGCTTCGCTAGAAACACAACAGAGACCGCCCTTCTCCCGTCATGGTGAAGGTTAGCGGATCCTATTAGACCTATGAATATTCTCGTATTTTTGTATTCTCGTATTAGACACAGCATATTCCTTTTCGCCAGCAGTTCGCGGTAAATTAATTATACTTGCTCTTTCTATGACAGATGACAGGATAAAACTTGCCTTTGTGCTTTTTATAAATAAGTGATCGAGATTCTTGGCATTATCCGTCGTATTGATAAGCGTTGATAGACCGGGCCCAAACCGGACTCGGGAGCCCCACGGCGGAACGAGATCGATGGCGGCATTGATCAAAAGCGGAGTGCCGATGCGGAGTTAGTACCACCACCTTGTCGAATGGTTTCGTAATATTGACCAATACATCTACTACGGAAGGAATCGAGATGAAGCTGTAAGCTGCTAGGTTAGGTTAGTGGATTAGAGGACCTAAGATATTAGCAATAATTACAGAACGGGACGTATGAGAACCCATCATCTACCTGTACCCGAATACCGGAACCGAATACTTAATCATCTCCATACATTGACTGATTAGAAGTTAACGTACGAAGCACGCCGAAAGCGGACCCGAAAGGTCATAACCTACCGTATGTTTATAAAGGGATTAACGATAACCAGTTAAATTGACCCACGCAATAACATCATAACACTGGTTACAAATGTGCCTCTCGGTCTCGCATTGCGCGGAAGACGTTACCGGAAGTCCATTACCCCAGAATACTACCCAGGTACCTAAGGCCGGTATTCGATCGCTCGATAATACTGACTCATAGGCCGGGCTCCATCAACCGTGCCCTTAATAATACATCGGTACGGTGCTTTAAATTTTAATTAAACTCCAGATTATATGTAGCATGAATCATAAATTCAACTAAGTGGATTATCCGTGCTATAGTATCGGTTCGAGATATTTCACCGCTAAGATGCCGAATATTGTGGTCGTCGGGTGAGCTCCGATAAGCTGTCTGTCTAGATTTACCAGTTCCACTAATATCGGATGGCAGTGCGGGTGTGTCCGGTATCACAACAGCATATCTGCTATCGAAGCAGGAAGGAAATGTCATAACTGTCATAGCGAAGCATATGCCAGGCGACTATGACATAGAGTATGCGTCACCATGGGCTGGCGCGAACGTTCTACCGTAAGGAAATACCATGTCGATGTACGTCGACGTTGAGACTTACTCCGGAGTAGTATGGCAACCGAGAAGCACAGCTCGTGGGAGCGTCGCACGTGGCCGGAGATCAAGAGGCTCGCTACCGAGGTGCCCGAGGCCGGAATACACTTGCTGAGTGAGTAACCCGAACACGAAGAGGTCTACCAAGCCTAAGTGACGAGTGCAGAATCTCGCGTGTACCGCCGCGAGAAGGACATTGAGCAGATCAGGAAAAAAGGGTACAACTTCGACGGGCTCTTCGAGGAGAACCCCTGGTACAAGACGCTGTTCGACGACTTTCGAGAGCTCTCCAAGGATGAACTCCCCAAGGGCATGGCGTCGGGCTGCGAGTTCGGGTCCGCGTGCATAAACGTCATGTTGTACCTACCGTGGCTTTTGGGGAAATGCCGGGCGAATGGCGTCGTATTCCGGCGCGGGCAGCTGAAGCACATTTCGGAAGCAGCGTCCCTCCACCACGCGGGCGGGAAGAAGGCCGACGTCGTAATCAACACGACGGGGTTAAGTGCTTCCAAGCTCGGCGGCGTGATGGACAAGAACCTAGTGCCGGTCCGCGGCCAGATCGTCGTGGTCAGGAACGAGGCGCCGTACATGCTGACGAAATCCGGCACCGACGACGCCGCCGACGAGCTCTGCTACATCATGATGCGGGCGGCGGGCGGCGGCACGGTTCTCGGCGGGACTTACCAGAAGGGACACTGGGAAAGCCAGCCGGACCCGAATATCGCGATGAGGATCATGCGGCGGGCGGTGGAGATGATGCCGGAGCTTGTGGACGGGAAGGGCGTCGACGGGCTGGATATCATCCGCCACGGGGTTGGTCTCCGGCCTTATAGGGAGGGAGGCGTCAGGATTGAGAAGGAGAAGATTGGCGATACGTGGGTTGTTCACAACTACGGACATGCAGGCTGGGGATACCAAGGATCGTATGGTTGTGCAGAAGACGCGGTGGGACTTGTGAACGAGGTCCTCGGTCGTTCTCGACTGTAATATGGTCAGATCTGGCCATGTAATACTTTGTTGTGTTTAACATATGTAGTAAGAAAGGGGGTTTGGCCATAAGGCTGGCTAGGTATATTCTTTTCCTCTCCCTTTCGCCGTCAATAAGCTACGACACTACAAATTCAATTTTACATCCTATGTCCATTCAGAAGAACATCTAGATAGAACGAGGTACCGTAGTAAACATCAATTGCAATAAGCACATGTAGGTAGGTAGTTATCGTGAAATATGTCGGTTGAGAAGGCAATACTAAATTACCTTAAGGCTTAACTTACATGTACCTAGGTTACCTAAGTACTTCATAGAAGCCGGACTGCCGAATAATAACCGGCTACAGAGTACTTACATACTACCTGTCCACTTTACGTAATTGCACCTGCATGTCTTAGAAGCTTCACTTAGAAGCTTCATCGCGTCAAATTTCCTCCAAGCAGAAGCAACAACGCCGACAACCACAATGGCGAGCAAAGACCCCGGCTTGGTCTCGCAGGCCGTGCGCCTGGTCTTCAACGTCGCCAACGGCCGCAGTGTCTTATCGAAACTCGTCCCGCCATGTCTGTTCCTGCTCGACGCGGTGCTTTGCGCGCTGATCATATGGAAAATCCCCTGTAAGTTGATCCGAGGGGGGGGGGGGGGGGGGTCAATGTGCAGCTGAACACTAATCGCTTACGGCTTCTTTTTCCTGCAGATACCGAGATCGACTGGACGACGTATATGGAACACATCAGGCTGTATGTGTCGGGCGAACACGACTATACTGCTCTTACGGGAGCTACGGGGCCCCTTGTCTACCCGGCAGCTCATGTCTACACGTATACTGCGCTGTATTACCTGACGAATGAGGGCAAGGATATCTTCCTCGCGCAGCAGATATTCGCCGTCTTGTATATGGCAACACTGGCGCTGGTTATGGCTTGTTATTGGAAGGCAAAAGTAGGTTACAAGGCAGTTATGATTATTATTAACATTTACTAATTAGGTGCCATGATCATATAGGTTCCGCCCTACGTTTTCCCCCTATTAATCCTCTCGAAGCGACTTCATAGCGTCTTCGTTCTGCGCTGCTTCAACGACTGCTTCGCTGCATTTTTCCTCTGGCTCGCTATATTCTTTTTCCAGCGACGAGCATGGACTGCCGGTAGTATCGTATATTCGTGGGGTCTGGGTATCAAAATGTCGTTGCTTCTCGTGCTTCCGGCTGTTGGGATAGTTCTGTTCCTAGGACGGGGATTCTCGGGTAGTCTGAAATGTGCCGCGATTATGGCTCAGATGCAGATCGCCATCGCGACTCCGTTTCTGCAGGCAAATGCATGGGGTTATGCGAGCAAGGCCTTCGAGTTAACCAGGCAGTTTTTCTTCAAATGGACCGTGAACTGGCGTTTCGTAGGGGAGGACATATTTCTCAGCCGGCCGTTCTCATTGGTGCTCCTGGGTATGCACGCTGTGGTCATAGCGGGTTTTATTGTTGGCAAGTGGTTGAAACCAGCTGGTAAGCCCCTATCGGCAATAATCATGCCACTCCTGCAGTTCAGCTCGCCCTTTAGTCCCCGAGAGGAGCCCCTAGTAGCTTCACGGGTGACCCCTAACTATGTGATGGCGACCATTCTGTCGGCAAATGCCATCGGGCTTCTCTTCGCGCGTACTTTACATTATCAGTTCTACTCATATCTCGCATGGTCCACCCCGTACCTCCTCTGGCGAAGCGGAGCCCACCCTGTCGTCCAATATGGGCTTTGGGCTCTCCAAGAGTGGGCATGGAACGTTTTTCCAAGTACCCCTATCAGCTCGGGCGTTGTAGTTGGTGTCCTAGCTATAACTGTTACCTTGATAGCTTTCCGGAAGGACAAAGATGCGGCGCGGATATCTGATTCTTCACGAGAACGCAAAAATGCTTGAGTCCGGCCGGATTAGTCGATATGCAGTCAGTTCTCATCTTCCGAATCCGACGCCGGCATCTTGCCTACAGTCGAGTCTTCATCCTCGTCATCCTCATAGGTAAATCGTGCAAACTCTTTAGGCCTAGACATGGTGTCAGTTTCACTGCCTATACTTACGACAACGCCGAGTTTACTCGCCAGTAGCTCTGTTTGCGCCATTCCTTCTCGATGCCCACAACGTTCACAATCTCACCCTCCACTTTACCCTTTCGCTCCTCGGGGGGAGTCAGATGTACGAGGACAAACCCCCCACGCCTAATCCAGACGGTATTGCGGAAGCGCGTAGCGAGTTCGACAAGGATGGTGCGCTGGTTGGGAAGAGAACAGGTGTAGAGGTTGTTGCCCTCGGCTTTGATCACTCTTGCGAGCGACTGCGCTTCTTTGAGTTGGTCGGGGGGCGTAGTTGACTCCTCCACAATTGCGCGCATCTCTCGCTTTGGTCGAGCCATCTTCAGTTACTCAGATTATGTGGTTTTTGGTCACTAGGTACTGGAGCTTTATCCAATGGTTTGGAGATGCGTCATCAAATTTGATTCAGATTGATATTGATGCAGATTTGGTGAAAGACAAATACGTCTGCTACCGGTGGGGCCTATGTAGGTATTTATATAGGCGTAGCATATCGCTTATCCGTAGTTCTCCCGACAATGCCTAGATAACATTATTAGTTTAGGTAAAGTTGAAGCTTTATAACTGTTGACATGTTTATTTCAGATGCGTACGTAATAAGTTACCCCTTACCTAAACCTTAGGTAGTAGGCAAAGTGCTTAAGTTGGAGCAAATATCAAGAAATTTTAACTAAGCTCTTTGCGCGTAAGAACCTGATCCTACAATTATTTCTAAAGTGGCTTTGCTTACGTAGGTAGGTATTTTAACGCCTGGGCATCCAACATCAGTGCATGTGTAACTTTTATAAGTTACTAGCCTACCTAAGGAAACCTTAGGTACCTACATATGCAGTTGCACGTTCTTTGAAACCGAAACAAAGCATAATAAACTTTATCTACCTTAGGTAGGTTAGGTAAGAGGTACCTAATTCGCCTCGTTTAAATACGATATATCACATATAGATAGATACCTATTTACCAACAAGGTTAGGTATTTTCCAAAACGCAATGCGTCGCTGGGCTATAACTATTTCTAGCGCCATTTCCAACTCAGTACCTAACTTAACTCATACATTATAATTACTAGGTAATACTCTCCTCTGAACATATCAACAACTATGGCTGCGCTCGATAAACTGCCCGCCGAAATATCGCATATGATAGCCGGCTTCCTTACGATTCGTACCAGAACAGGGGACATCGAAGTGAATCAAAGAGCGCTCGCATCTCTTACCCGTGTCAACACGAGACTGCGCGACGTGTTTGACCCAATCCTATGGAAAACCAATGCAGTTTTCTCACCCCCCAACGGCCCTGATGGCAGACGTTACCCAAAGTCTGCTGTTTACTGGGCTGCTAGAAAGAATAGAATCGACGTCCTAGAAAAAGCATTCAAGTATGATTTAGCATTAGGCATGGCCGATGCCCGCGCTCCTTTGAATTGTGCTGCTAAGTTGGGACGAGACGATGCTGTCTCCTGGTTGCTTGACCATGGAGTGCCAACGGATCCTAGGACCTCTGGGGCAATTTCGTCTGGACACCATGACCAGGCCCGAGAGGCCGTCCCGGCTTTTCACTCACCATTATACGCGGCGATCAAAATGCACAAGGAGTCTACGGCTCTGATTCTGTTATCACATGGTGCCAATATGTGGTTTACGCAACGAGAAGCTCCTGGTAACCAGTTCCAAGAGGCTGCCATACACTGTGCCGCCTCCCGTAGCTTAGAAGCCGTGGTAAAGCACCTCGTTCTAACAATGGGAATCGATGTCGACGAACTTGATAGCCATCTCGAGACACCTTTGCATCACGCGATGAGGCAGGGTGATAACCAGATTATGATCAAAACATTATTAGAGCTTGGTGCCGACATAAACAAAGAACGCGATTCGGAACTTCCTATAACTACAGCGATTACATGCCACAATTTTACCAATGCGATGTCATTTTTGGATGCTAGGCCAAGGGTAAACATAACCAATACAGGCCCAGGGAGCATGTCCCCGTTGGCAGCATGTGCTTTGTATCGACGGGGACCTGTATGCCTATCAACTGATGAGATGATGATATTAGAGCAAGGCATGTTATTCGGCCAGCTCATCGAGTGCGGAGCCGATGTAAATGCACCGTGCAATGGATTAGATACACCTCTCGGCATTGCCATACGAAGAGGCAGCCCTACAGCAGTTCATGAACTCATTGTAGGGGGAGCTGATATAGAGAAATGTACAGGGGGCCGTCAGCTTAAGCCAATCGATCTCATATGGGATCTTCAAAATACTATAGAAATTGCTATAAAAGGAACTATCTTAGTTGCAGCAGGTGCTCGTCTAGATGTTCCTTCTAAGGCAACTTCTAAAACATCTCTAGAGAGGGCTGTTTGTCGTGAGTCTATAGAGAGTCAACCAATTCTCAGCGCGCTCCTCTGCTCGGCAGACCAACGAAATTTTCGAGACGGATATCTTGACGAGATTTTTCAATACTGTCTGGAGCAACGCTCCTGCGAGCCCGCAAAGATCCTGATGCATCACGGGGCATCCTCGCAGAGAGCAAAGGAAGCTGTTTATAGCTGGGCCAATGAGATAGTCAGTGGCCTTCCAAATGATTCTTCTCGTCAGGCTTTATCATTCTGCCTAGATTTCCAGTTTTCCAACGAGGAAATCGAAAACCTCTTCACGAGCGCACTGCATTCCATGAATGAGGAAAACTGTCATTTGCTTCTAGATCGTGGCGTGCTGTCGTTTTCTAAAGAGCCCAAGCCGTGGCTGCATCTGGCCGCAAGATATGGCCACTTTTCACTCACGCACCGCCTGTACAGGGCTGGGATGGATATCAATGCACTCGATTACGACTTTGAGCCACCTATGATGATAGCTCTGCGAGCTGAAAATCTTGCCATAGCTGATCTACATTTCGACCTCGGAGCGGATCCCTTTCATCCTCGGCCTGATTCGGAATGCCGACAGTCGCAGGACGTACCTACGGAAATCATATCGCCTTTCGAGTATGCTGTGCGCAATCATCACTACGCATATGCGAAAAGATGGTGGCAAGAATGTCCGCCAGATTTTGTGCCTACGGAGGACTTCTGTATCCCCCTTGTTATCACTGAGGGAGAAGACTGTGTGGAATTTATCGATGATCTGCGCGGCTCTACTAGAAATAATTCGAAAGAAACCGAGGAGCGGCCTACTCGCCGTCGGATCGCGGAAGATCTGTCGGAACAAAAAAGGTTTAATGAAAAGATATCCAGCGTACAGGAACGGTTAACGGAGATTTTAGGGGACGATATGCTGGACCGGGACTGGGGTTGGAACATTGGCTACTAGGTAAGTAGAAGGGAGATCTAATGAACAAATCTTTTTTAACTAGCTACAGGTAATTGGTTTGATTTGTTATTCTTTATGTTTGTAACGTTTGGGACCAATTACGTTAGTACTTATGTTAAGGGTGGTCTTAGTACTATAAAATATCATCAACCATATTGTTAGGGATGAACGCAGGGCTAGCTACCTACCTATGCTACCATATTTATACACTCGTTAGGTAGCTAGCGAGGAATTGCTTTCCTAGTCATATAATATACCCTCGCTCTTCAGTGACTCCTGATACCGCGTATAGTGCCGTTGCTCCTTACCACAGCCGTCGACAGGCCTCAGCTTTCCTTGCCGGGTATCTCTTCCTCCACGCTGCGAAGCCACGACGATAAGGTCCAGCCGCCCTCGCCGTCGTTTTTTGTTGTGCTGGGTAAATGATCAAGCTGTGGATTATTCGAAATATACCAGTTTTGTAGGCGCTCGTCTTCAATAGGCATGTTATCACCATCTTTGATGAAACCTGGAGCATCGGTGTTTTCAAAGGTTTTTGTTGTCTCCCCCCCTGAGATATGTGCCAAATCTAGCCTAACCTCATATGCGTTGTGTCTAAACAAGTCCTGGGGATGTTCGTAAACATCGTAAAAGTCGCCATAGTCGACATTCAACTCAGTCGGGCGGATCCTGTTTTCGGTATATTCGGCCTTAGATAAATCTTGTATGTATGACATGTCTGGAGGCTCACCTAACCCCGGGAATGTGGTTGTCGGGAATGGGCCTAAATCCGGCCGTGGTCGGTCCCCCATAATGGCCACGATAGAATCGGTAGCTTTGAAATCTTCTTTGAAATCTTCACTGCTGAGATGGAGTCGGTAGTTCCAAGGTACTAGGAGGTTCTGCGTATTCCGCAAGGGTGGATGCCCAGTATCTGCAAAGAGTGTTGGTATATCCTCAACAGAATCAAACCCGAAGATAGAAATAGATCCGAGATTACTGCCTTGTGAGCTTGGGGGTGAGCTAGCAGCTGAGCTAGCAGCACTATGTGATGCGTGGTCTGCGTTCTCTTCCAGCTCGGCATTGGTATACTGGTCCAGTGCTTTCAGCCGAAGCGAGATGAGACTTAGCATCTGTAGGTGCTTGGCGACATGGAGCGCAACTTGCATATGGCATTGCTCGATGGGCTGTGGTTGTGGTTGATTATGATCAGTACCTGTATTGGGTTTGCTCTCGGTATTATTATCTATGGGCTGAGGAGAGTTGCGGGAGCTCTGTGACGGGGGTGTGTTAAACCTGACTCTTTTCGGTGGCCTTCTTTCAGTCGTCCCAGGATCGAGTTCATCTGCACCATGAATATCCGGGGAATCTGTGTGGTTCGTCAGGTTTCGGTTCTCGGGTTGTGGGTTATTATCATCAACTTGGAAGCAGCATAATGGACACTGTCTACTAGGTCTTGGTGTTTGAATCGCGCTTTCTTCCGCGAGCACCTCTATTTGGATATCTGTGAAGGTATCTCCGTGCATATCATGCATGTGTGTTTCGATCAACTTCAAACTGGGAAATTGGCATTCTGGATGGCAGATATCACAGATCCATGTCTTGGAGTGAACCTTTTCTGCCCACCTTGATGAATGGCAATCATCCAAGTGCGTTTTCCAGTCTTCAAATCTGTCAAACTGGACCATCGACTCAGAGCATTCTTCAGATAGGCATACGTAGGGAATGAGGTCTTTATTAACATGACGTCTGAGCAGTCAAGTCAGCACGGCTAGAATGTATAGAGACGTGTTGAGAAAATGATAGCATACTTCCACCATTTAGTATCTTTAAACCGCGCCGTAGTATAACATTCGAAGCACCATTCGCATCTTGTCAACCCAGGAGCATATTCGACTACCGGTGGCCGAGGATACCTGGCACCACGGACCAAATCGGATGACGTCTTGCTGGGCGGCGCATGCCATTCAAAGGGTTGTTTCAACGTAGATGGTGCTGTATCTGATGGTTGAATGTCAGGCTCCTTTGGTTTGGTATTCACTTTTTCCAGCACGGTGTCCTCTGGCTCCACCATGTTTATCTCGTCTGGGCGCGTGAATGGTTGGGTTTGAGTGTTCTTCTCTACGGAAACCAAAGTCTCATCATCGCTCTCTTCAATATCCGAGAGGTCTTGTCGCTTGTAAGCAAGCTTCTTCTGGTGTTCCTCTTTATATCTCAATTTGGCATATCGTAAGAATATATTTCGGCCAAGGTAATATGTTAAGCTCTCAGAAGCGTCGGGATATAATGATCTAACGATCTGTGTAGCTAATTCTTCGAATGAGGCCTGTGCCTTTCTCTTCGAGAATGCCTCAACTTTCCGGTGGAGACCAGAGGTAGAAGATCGTCGGATAGCCACTCCTAGACGTTCAAGGCGATCTATTGAACGGTGGATGGCATCGTATATCTCCTTAAGGCCTTCATATTCTTTTGAATGGTCGACGAAGTCCCCTATCGAGTCCCGCTTCCTAGTTTGGCGACGTGAATCTTCCAACACTATGTACTTGTTAGCTTCACCAAGTCCAACAAATAAAGTAATAGTGACTTACAGAGCTGTAGGTTCCTTTTCAATAATCTAAGTATCTCAAGGAACAGTTTCTTCTCACTGGTGTCTTCTAGGCGGGTGTCAAGGGATGCAGTTTGGGTTGCGAACACTCCTAGATATGAACTCCAAGCATTAAATCGATATTGAGACTCTTGTAGTAATCGAGTAAGCATAGGTGGGCTACCACCATCGCCTTTTAAATGCTTCTGGAAAAGCTGATGACATTGTGCAGCTAAGGATGAAATTCCAGTCCCGCTATACGCCATAGATATTCAGGGGTTACCTGCTACATATAACTGATTAGCTCCCTCAACTAAGGTGCTCGTACAACCCCTTCATATATGATTCGAAGCCCACGTCTGGAGATTTAGAAATTGATGACTGAGCCGCCCCCTCGCGTGAGTCTTACAGTCGAGAGGGGGTGATCACAATGCGCCTGCATCTATGATAGGCACGTTAAGCGAGCTGATCTGATAAGAAAGATAATTCCTAATATACACGGCCTCGATCGCTCCTTTAGAAATAATTCCTATCATTGCTAAGAGCCTAAGCTACCTACCTATAAACGACGTCTGCTTCACACATAAGTACCTAATATAGATTATGACTACGCCTTCACATCCCTTTAATAACATATCGCCCTAGTAAGTATTGGTACATGACGCAATTCTCAGACCTCGAAGAATGGAAAGCTGTCCAAAAAACATGTCATCTTGTTCATTCAGCTGTTCAAGATGCGATTGGATCCTTGCCGCATTCGAGCGAGGACATGGCTTACCTCAACTACCTGAATGATCTGTCTCAAGAAGTTCAGATGATTGATATCTCAGTGCCACTGGGCGTCTATCTTCCTACGGCGGTCGTAGACCAATGCAAAACCCAGCTGGAAAGCCTCCTTCGACTCTTCAAGCAACTCCCGGGCATACTTAACCTTACAGTCCCAGATGCGACCAGAATCCGTTCTGCTATTGCGCATATCACAGACACCAATAGATTCTTTACCTCCCTCGGTCGGACCACTACATCCTCATCCTCTTTCGCAAATGCTCCCGCTGAGCGTAATCTTGCAAAGGCGGATAATACCATCCAAGTGTTCACGGAAGGTGTTCTAGATAAGTTATGTTCATTATTTTCAGAGTGCTCGTACCAGTCAGATCATCGGATGATGCTACGATTTTCTGGATTACGAGGCCTTGATCCGACGCTCACTACGACGTTACATCTCCTTCTCAATTCGTGTGAGGGCTATTCGGCACGTACAGATCTTTGGCAATATATTACTTGTCGCTACCCTACTATTGGGTAAGTTAATAACGGTTAGTTTCCCATGTATGGCTAACGGAAATTGGATAGTGATGCGCAAAATCCAGACGGCCAGTTGAAGATATTACAAGACCTTTGCAAAAACATTCACTTCCACCTACATATCAATGAAAGTCTGCAACTTCGCCTGATTAATGGGCAAGTTTTCTATTCGAACAATGCTGATGGTAAATTCACGTTGGACAATTCGGTTCCGGGCAGTTCACTACATGACCTGTTGAAAAAAGGCTACTTCCTACCACTCACTTGGAGTTCAACTAACCGACTCACTACTTGGGAGAAACGCAGTCTGGCATTGGACCTTGGGCTTGCATTCATGCATCTAATTGACTGCAGGTGGACTCGGCACAGATGGAAGACAAGAAGCCTGCACTTTCTACACCCCTGGACACTTCATTGCCGCGATTCTCTTCTCCAAACCCCCCCATACCTAGGGTGCAATGTGTCCGTAGCAAGTTCAACCAATGAAGAAGACCACGATACTCTCTTTCCTGGTCATCCCGACTTCTTATTGTTTGGAAAACTCCTTGCAGAGTTGGAAAATGGCGAAGAGATCGAAGCAACGCAGTGCAATAAACATGGTGTCCCAAGTTTGTACCTCACATTACTTGTTGGGATACACGAGGGGCGTTTATCAGCTCATCCTTACTACTCCAAGGCCATAAGTGCCTGTTTGTCCCTCTATAAGCAGCCCGGTGATCCCAACTTCACCAGAGAAAGAATCCAAAAGACAATAGTGTTAAATCTTAACAAGGCACTTGCTTCTTGCGAAAGGCCGCCCTTACCTCAGGCCAAGATACACACATCTCAGGCGAGGGCTCAACCCGAGGTTAACATCGAACATCAAGAATTATCTACTTCACTTTCGTTTGAGCATCAAATGCCTATCCTGCCAACAACCCCTTTGGAAAATCAAACACAGGAGATGTCTCATTCACCTAAGGAACTACCGGATATCACTTGTGGTTCCAAAAGGACGATTGCTAGTGCCCTTAAATGGCAAAATTCAGGTCCCAGCGGCCCCCTCCGCCGAAGTCCTAGGCTAAGGCAATTGGCTTCCTCAAAGGCGACTTCAAGTACGCGGGAATCACCATCGTTGTCTACTCACCCTCGTGGCAGAGTTTCCAAGATAAGGGGCTCCCGGACTCGTGGCACTAAGTCGAGCAAGTTATCTAAAGCTTTGGATCATCTTGGCGGCATACAGTTATCTCAGCACAAGGTAGGCAAGTATAGTAGTCTGGTGAGATTATTTGACGAGTCGTCCGATTGTGTGGACTCATCGTAAGCCAACTTGCTGCCTATGAAAAATTGGGGAGATCTCAGTTGACATGATTAAAGCAAACGAGAAAGCGCGGCAGAGTTTATCCACTTTTACGATAATTTCAAAAGACAATACGGATACATCCTTAACGCATGCACTAGCGAGCTCCCCGAGTATCGAATCTCTGTGTGTATCATCGACACAGGTATCGATAAAACCCACCCTGCTATTAAGGGAGCCTTCCGGCGTGGGTGCATCAAGGATTGCCGCAGCTGGGTAGGGAACGAGGATGATGTTCACGACAATTACGGGCATGGGACTCACGCTGCTCATCTAATACTAAATGCATCGGAAAATATAAACTTATACATAGCTAAGGTTGCGGATGGTCTGGATATTGAGCCACACAACATAAACAAGATTGCGGAGGTAAGTTCTTGCCGCCTTCACGGAATATTGTGTGTGCCAACAGCAGATAGGCAATTCTCTATGCTGTCACTGTGTGGGATGTTGATATCCTAACGATGTCTTTCGGTTTTCGGGAATTAGAACCGAATATCAAAGCGGCAATCGACGAGGCTTCACGACGTGGCAAGTTACTTTTTGCCTCCGCCTCTAACCACGGCAACAATCAGCTGGGGAGGACGTATCCAGCAAAACATAGAAATGTCATCTCTATCAGTGCCTCTACTGGGAAGGGAAAAGACGGGCAGATCAGCCCAGGCCCTGAGGACAATGACGATAACTTCATGACATTAGGGATCGCGGTTCCCCTTACATGGAAGGGAAAAGGGGTTTATAAATCAGGTACTTCATACGCAACCCCTATTGCTGTTGGGTTCGCGATCAATGCGTTAGAGTTTGTAGGCGGAGCAATGGGCCAAGAAGACTTCCAGCAGTTAAAGCAAAGTGATGAGTTTATGCGCCGCGTTTTCCGGCTCATGAGCAACCGGGATTCCTCTAGGTATAGTTTTCTCGCGCCCTGGCTCTTGTGGGATGGGATGAGGACGCCAGATTTCATTTCTCACCTGCTAAACCAAGCAATGTATCACTAGCATGATACTTTTTTTTACGAGGGAATACGGTGCGATAGGGGATGTCAAATATATATTTACATAGTAGCCTTGGTAATAATGGCTAGAAATACGTTACAATAGCGAGAGCAAATTCCAGCCCCCAAACCGCGTCTATCTATACAATATGGCAGCTTAGGCATCCATGCATTTGGAGGCCTCCAGACAGTCATAAGGCTGAGGTTAATGTAAGCCATATTCCATCATACATAACGTATCCGACCTCACCAACACAATCAAACTATTCGGACTTGCCCCAAGAGCACGATGGAAGTACCAACTTATCGCCGAGCTCCCAATTTCTCAATCCCCCCAGATGGGCCCCTTCAGCTTGGAACTGTGGTAGAAGACCTCAGGTTTCTCGAGCCTCTCAACGAAACAGAACGAGTCGAAATTTCCCCAGACCACACGTATCGGAGAAAGGACGCGGGATTTAATACAGCTCTCGGAAAGCTGCACCAGCACGAGATCAACATCATTGCCCGGATCCTAGGTATAGAGGGTCTCGGCGGCGAAGTTAGCGGCAGCCACCAGAAAAGCAAAGATACTGCGGTATACGCCCGGGAAGTCGAGACGACCTACTTTTATCCGTCGCCCGAATACATAGCCGCTACGATGGCGCTGCCGAGCATCCATACGTACATGAGCGTTACACACAAAAAGTACGCTGTCTACATGATTACAGGGCTCAAGATCGCCTACGGCGCCTCGTGGTCTAACAGCGCGAGCAAGAGGTCGGGCGCAGCGGTCCAAGTCACCGTGCCCGAGCCCCTCTCCGCGATCGTAGGTATCGGACCCGGCGTTGCAGCAAATTCATCATCTATCACGTCGACTTCAGTCGAAGAGGCCGATCCGTTCATCCTTGCGTATCGCGCGACTAAGATATGGTATAGCTGGCCTAGTAGAGATGAGGTCAAGGCGAAGTCGTATGTAAAGGGTGCGTCTATGGCGGACGACGGCGGCGTCAGAAAGATAGAGCAGGATGGGGAGCTGAAGTTCATCCGGGATATTGGAGTGGACAGTGAGACTGATATTGAGATAGCTGTGGTCGAAGATCCCATTGATGGCATTGAACCCTCCAGGTGGGTTCAGTCTGGTTAAGCCTAGCTTATGCGTTTTGTTTCTCTTTATTTTATTAAAGGAACGATTGATTTGACATGTCTAAGTCAAAAGGTCAATTCTCAGATATAATTGACTCAAGTTATACATGTCATTATATCTGATTGGATGAGTTGATGCGATCGCACTACTTCAGTTGGCGTTTGAACCATTTGGGTAATTCTTTATTCTGGGTTCCCTATCGACGTCATCGACTAGGTTAGAAGCTGTCTTTATTGCGTCACGCTCAATATAATTATTCACCTCACAATATGCAACATATATATTTCTATCTAAACATCGTACATGATATACTTTAGGCACATATGATATTATAAATATTATAACAACACTGAACGTCAGCTATTAGTCAAGATGAACCCTTCAGGACCTGCGCAGCCTCCTAAGGACACAGCATACAAGACGCAAGGAAACCCCGTTACCTCTAACCCTTCGGAGCAGAACAGCGCGCAACACCGCACACATGGAAAGCCCGTAGACGAGCGCTTACCGTCTGGTCAACCTTCTAACCTCGGTGATGCCCTGCCTTCGAGCTTAGGGTACGGGATCCACGGCGCGCCCGCCGGGGAAGAAAAGTATGGCCACACTCCCGAGCAAGTCGGTCGAAACCAAGAGCTGGATGGCGACCAGATGCGCGCTCCGGGCGAGGGCGAGGTGGCTAGCGTGGTTGAGCGCAAACCGGGTGCCAGTGGATCTCAACCAGATCTAGCCAGTGACCTTGATCGGTGAGTTTGGAGTGTGCCCTTCCAGAAATAACAGAGGAGAGAGGTTGCTGATATGTCGAATAGCAAAAAGCAAGAGCAGTTTTCTAAGAGAGAGGCGGTTAAAGAAGAGAGGAGACAGGGTAGAGCCCCTGATGATGGGGATGCTAGGGCTGGTGTTGCGACTTAGGATAGAAAGTGGAGGATATCTCGACTGTGTATTTATTGTAAAAGTTTACCTAGTATAATTAAAGGACTAAAGAGATATAATGTGTTAAAGCCTTTTTAAACCCTTGAATATTTTTCACAGGGCAGAACTCACACTATAGAGACTTGCTTGTTAGGAGCATTCATTATAAAACACAATAATAGTTACATCTTATTTGACTTACCTAAGATGTAAGTATAGTACCTTTTATATAATACTATCTGTCTGCCTAGCACCTCGTATAAATCGTAACTATTCTTTGATACTTCAATTTACCTGTTATCAAGATATATTAGGTACCTGACTTGGATATATACAAAATCATGTGATTTAATGTGAAAATAGTATTAGGATTCTAAATCTATCATTTAAAAGGATACTCTCAGTATGTATAGCCATAGGCCTCTATAGTTAGCCTAGAGTTTCTTACCAAGCAAAGAAATTGTTTCCTTGCTTCTTGCGCCACCTCATGGCAAATAGCAGGAAATCAACAATGATTATTGAGTGTCTTCAAACATACTACACATAGAGCTATCAACGCCTGCATACATGTGTATTATACAAGCCAAACCTAAAGAGATACGTGAAAATTAAATTGTTCCTAATGCTTCTACCGGATGAAATAAATTGCCTTTGCCACTCGAACAAAACCTATCCCTTTATAAAATTAACAGTGTATATACCTCCTATATTCCTATCTTCGGATGGGTATATCAATAACGAATAATTATTGTATATAGCTTCACCGCTGTTCAACAACTATACGTTGCGGTGAAAATATGTCCTCCCTTGTTTTCTTTATACCCAACCCCAGTAGTTTTTGTTGGCAATCCCCCCTCCTATTTTTGTTATTTCGCCATCCAAAACCAAAACTTAATTATTATAAACTATGTCTCTCCGTGTCACGATATGGACCCAAAAGGCATGGATCGATGTAATTTTCTGTTTCGTGAGGAACTCTAAACCTAGATGTACAAGCTCGAGTTGTACATATTAAAGATATCCTTTGTCCTAGATGTCTTGTCAGTGTTCTAACAGCCATGGAAACCAGCGATCAACCTACCAAAGGCATACGTTTTCCTTCTAAGAACCTCTCCTAGAGTCCTGGCACTTCCGTCAAATTCTTGCTAGATCAAGATTTCTCTACTGAGCTCCTAGGATATATAGAAGGCTACATTTACAACCCAGTCGTCCGATGTAGGCCTGTACTGGTGAGTAGGCGTGTTGGTTTATTGTGATTTGCAGGATAAAAGAAACACCCACCCTACACGCAAACGCGTAAGAAATCGGATAGTGGCCTTACTGCTATGCGAACAATAATCATCCTTCTTTAGATATTCTCAAACGTCCTGACGAACGCCCTGACGAACGCCGTTTGCTACAAGCATGACAATCCTCGGCCATTGCCAGGACCGTGGTTGTTACGAGGAGGTAAAGATTTCTTCTGCGGTACACCTGGTACGTCCGGTGGTACATATTTGCGCTTGGAACCTTCTGTAGACATTGCTTCTCTATGCGTACCTGATGAAAAGCGTTGTCTCTTGCCATATACCTTACCTTGACTCATGCCATCTGCCTTATTAATAGGGGTCGTGTGTAGGTACGTATTGTGTATTGGCGCATAATCTCTGATAATGGATGCTCTCCACACATAAAAGCATACTTTTAGGAGATTATTGAGTCACTACTATGCCTATGCAACAATAGATTGGCCCGGGAATATGGAAATGCATGACTGACGGACCCTTAGCATACTCCACAGCTTGCCCAAACACCCTGATACAAGCAACAGACTGCCCAACAATCAATATATGATATAGATACCCGCGTCACGTCTTTCCTAAGGAGAGAAGTTGCAGATAAGTTTTGAGAAGGCTCCCCCAAGCAAGAAGTTTTATAAATACATACCTCCACCACCCATAGAAAGCTTTTCGATTTTCTCGACCAGCACGTTCACAATCCAAATTCTGAAGACTCGCCTCCCAAAACCAATCCTCCTACTATCTATCATCTTACCACAGCAAGTAAGACACATCCAAGGACAAGGGGAATCATTATCATCATCAATCATTATTATCATTATTATTATTATCATCATCACATATCACAACACATACCAAAACACCACACTCGATCACCAAAAATGGCTGCTGCAGGATTTGCTGACCAGATCCATGGCTTTGAGTAAGTAAAATGAATTTATTATTATAATAACAGTCGTAAGCATTTACTAGCATTTACTAACCTAGGCTTAGCAATGATGGCCTTAACAATGTTTTTCGCTTCAGCATCAACGACAATTCGAGAGACGAAGAACTCGGGATTATTTGGACCGAGGCCGACGAGGCGATGGTCACGGCTAGAGTGGACACAGCCTATCTACCAAAGTTTTGGAAGATGATGATTCACCTTTTCAAGAGAAGCCCTTCCGACCTCTTCACCTGGGGTTTACGAATCGGCGACAACGAGGACGAGATCCTAAGAGACCTTTGTGAGATCTTACCTCACGAAATCTGGATGTCCAACTTGTCGGTACTCAGATATTGTCTACAGAAGGCAATATATCTTAGAGTCAAGAATCATGCCCAGCCCTTCGGTTTCTTCAAGGGCATATTCTTGAAGCCAATCAATAACCTCGAAAAGTGCTTAAGCAATATCGAGGCACATAAGCGAGATGCAGAACTCGCAGATAGAGTCTTTAAGGCATGGATGGCCACTGCACAAGACATAGAGACATCAGTCGCGGCATTCATGTGGGAGCTCGAGAACATCGTCAAAGGGACGGAAGTAGTCGGAACTCTAAATGAGGAGAGGTTCTTCATTCTACAGCAGGTCGATGTCTTCAACATCCGAAAGGCCCTCGACGCCCTCCACGACAAGGGTATATATCCTCTTAGGGTCGACATGAAATATGTTACCTATATCCGATCTTACGCTGGTCAGTGGCCTACATTCGAGCCATATACCCAGGAGATGCTGAAGATCTGCGAGAAAGTAGCTATCCTCAACCGACGACGTGCCCGTGCAATGGGTCTACCAGATATTCCTGTAGCCCGACACGAAGTCTTCACGCGTATCCCCTTCTGGAACAGCTCCAAGTGCGACGATAAGCGGTTCAAGGAGGTGATGTTCCAATACGGCGACTTGTGGACCCTATATTCCACAGCACCTATCCCCGAACAGCAGGCTCACGAAGAGGCGGCGGACAACGCGGACATGGAAGAACTCTGATGGCCAGTGAGGAAGTAGGTCATCTCACACATGGAGGAGGGATGTAGTAATCCGATCTCGTCTGAACAGATACTGGGCTTCAACAGTGGTGGACTCATTTAGCAATTGGCTGAGCAGTTACGTCACTTTGTAGTATCTGCATAGACATGTCATGTACCTAAAAGGATGAGATCAGTTGAGGGGCTTACATCGCATTAGATCCGTAATTGTTAACCAGGGATCCCCTAAGAGGGCCAATTGAGAATTGCGCTTAGACTTTTGTTCCGAACATAGGCGGAGAAATCTGACATGCCGAGGTTCCCATCATAGGAGCCTCTTAAGTGACTTCATCTATTTGTTCATCTTGAGGTTTCGTAGACGATAGATCCTGGAAAATATATCTACAAAACACAGGAATATTTTCTATCACGTATACTGCGAGTGTCACTAGATACTCATGATAGCATCAAGTCATAATGCTGACAGACCTGTCGTTTATTCATATTGCAGTGGCCAGTGTATCATCGCTGGTTTTCATTGTAGTCTACTATGCCGTCCAATGGACAAGACACGAGATTAGGATTAGAAGGACAGGTGGCACGCGTGCGCATACTCTTGCAAATGATCCCATCACGGGTAAGCCCAGCTTCGGAGAGCCACGCCAGGAAGACGGCGTTCGTTTAAATTTGAAAGCAGCTTTCCTGACTCACATGCAAAGCGATGGCGTGGTTCTACGCTGCGGCCAAAGCGCAGAGGAATCACCAGCTCTTGAAGCATTTCGATAGTTTTTTCGACTCGGCACCTCCCGAATGCCCGAATTGCGTTGAGATCCGATTCTTGCCGACGGAGAGAAACATACTTACGAGGGATCCGGAGCATGTTAAGGTAGTGCTCACGACCCAATTCTCTGACTTTGGAAAAGGGGAAAAGTTCCACGATCTATGGCGGCCTTTCCTTGGTGATTCCATATTCACGACTGACGGCCAGCTTTGGCATGATAGCCGCGGCCTGATCAGGCCGATGTTCATCAAAGACAGGGTCAGCGATTTAGCAACGTTCGAGAGATGGGTGTCCATACTCCTTGCCATACTTCCCCCCTCAGGACAGACGGTGAATATTATGGACCTCCTCTACCGAATGACGCTCGATGTGACTACAGACTTCCTCCTCGGGGCGAGTGTTGACAGTCTTCGCAAGTATACAAGCCCATCTTGCCAAACATTTCGTTAAGGCCATTATTACTAACTTAACCAAGTCCCAAGGGCGAGTTTGTAAAAGCATTCAACGATGTGCAAAGGATCCAGATGATGCTCACAACAGTTGGGTAATGACCAATATAAATCTTAAGTCCCCAGTCATTAGTTACTATTCTACTAACGTGTCGATATAGACCATTCAGATCCTTAATTTCCCGTCGTGCTTATAACGACGGAATCAAGACGATAGAGCAATTTATCATGCCGTACATCGAACAAGCGTTGGCGCTACCACAAGAAGAATTAGAGAAGCTGTCGAACTCTGACAAGCACTTTACTTTCCTGCACAGCATTGCACATTATACACGCAACCGTCAGGTAATCCGTGACCAGATCATCGCCGTGCTCCTAGCCGGGCGCGACACGACAGCCGCAACACTATCGTGGGCGTTCTACGAATTATCCCACTATCCCGAGAAGTACAATAAACTTCGTAACGAGATCATCGACTCCGTCGGTCGAACGCGAACCCCCACATACGATGACCTCAAGAATATGACGTATTTGCGACACACCCTAAACGAGACCTTGCGATTATATCCCGCCGTGCCTTTCAACATACGCACCGCGTTGGAGGACACGACACTCCCGAACGGCCCGGGTAATCCGCCCATCGCGGTTGTGAAAGGCGATGTCGTGGTTTATAGCTCCCTCGCGATGCACCGCCGAAAGGATTTGTACCCCCCAGCATCAGAGAAATTCGAAAACCCTGCTGTCTTCTCGCCCGAGAGATGGGAGAACTGGACGCCGAAACCGTGGCAATACTTGCCTTTCAACGGTGGTCCGCGTATCTGCGTAGGACGTATGTAACATCGAGTTCTTCCCCTTTTAGCCTCTCAGGGGTTATAACCCCCCGTCGAGTTGACCAAGGAGTTCTTATTCTCCGAGACATGATTAATATCATACACTTATACTGACCTCCTTTATTATAGAGAATTTTGCCATGACTGAAATGGCCTACTGCAGTAAGTACCTACCTATCTAGATAAGCTATACTCAGCGTAAGGAGAAAGGGGGAATCGCTAACTGATCGACTCCAGTGGTACGAATCCTTCAGAAGTACGAGCGCATCGAATACCATGGAGACTGGCACGCGCAACTGATCGAGACGGAGATCGTCGGAAAACCGAATAAAGGTGTTAACGTTGGGTTATACGAAGAGCCCGTTAAGCAGTTTGAAATCTAGGACCACCTAGCTGAGGTCTCGGAGAAGGATGTATTTTGTTTTTCATGTTGTAATAGTATGTTGGTCATGACTGATAGCACATCCCACTCCTTAGAGGATTATAAATAGTCACTTGTATTGTATGTACATTGCATCCTATCCCTGGAATGAATGAGTTGATATGAGCTTAAGATTTTGAGAAATACACAATTGATGAGACTAAGACGAGGCTAGGCATGTAGGTACTAAGTAGCTAAACTTGTTAGATGATAGCTGTTTGATCAGTGATTAATTAAAAATGTTTGAGTTGAAAAGTATGATTCGTGTTTTACTGATTCGTGTTTTACTGTTTGTGTGTTTTATGTGTTTAGGTTAATTGTTTTGGTGTTTTGGTGTTTTAGTGTTTTAAGGTTCAAAGTGTTTTTATGTTTTTATGTTTTAATGCCTTTTATGCTTTGGTGTTTTATGTTTTAATTGTTTACATAGCGGGGTTGACGGTTTAAGTCATATCGCGCACCTTGGATTACATAATAGTAGAGCGCGTAAATTGAATCAAGCGTGTCGCGTTTTACTGGGTCTTGCTTTACTGTGTCTTGCTTAAGGGGCCATTTTTATCTGGAGCATAACCAACATTGGAATACTCTAATATGGCCAAAGTTCCTTGTAGCTAACATTTAATCTACGCTGTCGTCATATATGCACTCCCAATTGCATCATGACAACCGCTCACACTCCTACCTCTGGCCGACGGAAGCGAAGTCGCCTTGAAGACGAAGATGAGCTGGACTCGTCACCCGCCGTCACACCAAGCGCAACTGCTTCTGTCAAGAGACGCCGTCTCGACGGTCTTGCGAACGCTTCGCCCTCTACCCCGAAAGGCTTCTCTGCCATTACTTCTGCCATTGGCGGTGCTCTCGGACTAAATCGAAAAGGGGGCGCGAAGGGTAGTACCCGCGCCAAACAGACGAAACAGACGAAACCGACCACCGATACTTCCTACGGAGTGCCCGAATCTCAACCCGATGGCGAAGCTACTAAAAAGATACAAAGTCTTCCCATCAAGCATAAGAAGCTCGGCCTCAGGCCACCAAATCTTAGCCAACGCCCTCCTAGCAACATCTATGAGGTGCCCGATTCGGATGAAGAGGTAGGCGGTGCTCGAGGGACGGTAGATGAGAGTCATGATGAAATTCAATCTACACCACCGGTGAAGAAGAGTGCTGTAGGTACACCAATCGCTTCCTCGAAGAAGAGTGTAAGCGCACGCTTGCTGGAGTCCCGGAAGAAGAAGTCGGCCGTTCCAGTTCAGAATGAGACTGAAGAGGGAGATACGCCGAAAAAAAGGGGGAGGCCCTCGAAGGCTCAGATTGCGGTTGATGCACTCATCTCTAGCGCAAAACCAGTTGAAGCTCAGCTCCCAAGGCGCAATGCGAATACGTCACCTACCAAGCTACCACCCATTAAGGGGATACTATCACCGCAAAAGAAAAAGCTTGGTCGACCACGCAAGAATGTCGCGTTTAACGACGAGGATAGTGGGAAGGAGAATGAGGTTTTCTTTGAAGATATCCAGTCCAAACCCGCGAAACCCACGAAGCCGAAGGCCCGAGGAAAGGCCATAGAAGCCATCCCTATTAATAAACCATCTCCTGAAGAAGAAGCGAGTGAGACGCAAGATAGCGAGGACGATGAAGTATGCGCCATATGCTCGAAGCCGGATTCCGAGCCGCCGAATGAGATTATATTCTGCGAGAATTGTGATATGGCGGTGCACCAGAAGTGCTATGATGTACCTGTCATCCCGGAAGGCGACTGGATCTGTAGGAATTGCTCGCAAGACGATGTTCTCCCGGGCGTGAAAGCAACTCCAAAGAAGCAGATACGTGTGACAAGCGTGCCTGAAGTTCCAAGCATTCCCAATTTTGAGCGGCACCTGCAACACATGCAGCGTGTGCTGTTAGATCGATGTTCTGGAAACCGTCGCATTAAGCTTTGTGGTCAGACTGAAGCTTACGACAAAGCGTTTCAACTAGTAGAGCAGACGGTCTTGGCCGGCGAAGGCAATTCGATGATGGTTATTGGCGCGAGAGGGTCTGGAAAGACTACGGTATGTTTTATACAATTTTGTCTCGAGTACTAGAGATTGCTAATCAGCTTGTTACTAGTTGATGGAAGAAGTCATCTCGAATCTCAGAGCTGAACATCAGGAGGAATTCCATGTAGTTCGCCTCAACGGTTTCATCCACACCGATGATAAGCTAGCTCTTAAGGAGATCTGGCGGCAACTCGGCAAGGAGATGAATCTCGAAGATGATCTGATAAATAAGGTATAAAGGCTTCACATATATCGAATAGTGTAGAAGCTAACTCAATCCAGACAAACAACTATGCCGACACAATGGCTTCGCTGTTGGCTCTCCTATCCCACCCCGCAGAAATTACGGGAGCCGAGGACGGCGTAACATCCAAGTCTGTCGTCTTCATTATTGACGAGTTTGACTTGTTTGCGACACACGCGCGCCAAACACTTTTATACAACCTGTTTGATATCGCTCAGGCAAGGAAAGCCCCAATTGCAGTGTTAGGGTTAACTACAAGAATAGATGTGGTAGAGAGTTTAGAGAAGAGAGTAAAAAGTCGGTTTAGCCACCGATATGTCTACATGTCTCTTCCAAAAACATTACCAACCTATTGGGATGTCTGTAGGCAGGGGCTGTCTGTTGACGAGGAGGATCTTGGTCAAGAAGGGTTCGACACTAGTTTGGAAGGACTATACGGATTCCGAGATTACTGGGAGAAGAAAATCGAGGTAAGACGTCGCTGATATGCTTTTATCATATATATATACACTCTACTAATGCATCCTAGGCTCTACGCAAGAACCCGAGTTTCGAGGACCATCTGGAATATCACTACTATACGACGAAATCCGTACCGGCATTTCTTACATCGTGCATTCTGCCTCTCTCAGTGGTTTCAACTTCCTCACTGGATCTATCAATACCTTCGCCCTCGTCAATCAGCATTTCGTTCGAACCTTCGGAATCAAAACTTCATCTTTTAGCAACACTGTCGGATCTAGAGTTGGCGCTGCTTATTTCAGCAGCCCGTCTCGACATCGTCGCTCATACTGACACGGTAAATTTTGCCATGGCCTATGACGAATATAGTTCCCAGATGGGAAAGCAACGAGTGCAGTCAGCTTCGTCTGGTATGCTAGCCTTGGGAGCAGGCGCAAGGACTTGGGGTCGAAGTGTCGCCGCAGTAGCCTGGGAACGGTTAGTGTCACTTGGCATATTAATACCGGCCGGTATAGGAGGCCGCAGTAACGCTGCGCATGGCGGTCTGGAGGGCAAGATGTGGAAGCTCGATGTTATACTAGAAGAAATTCCTACGGCATGCGAGCTGCCGGGATTCCTTTCGCGGTGGTGCAGTCAGATCTAAGCTACCTACCATGGAGCTACTCTACATGGCTTGCGGCGTCGGGATCTAAACAATAAATGGCCATAAAACCGTTAGACCGGTCAACCGCTCAGCCTGTCGGGGGCGAAGATAGCCGCGAACTAGGCGGCAAGATATAAATACATTTAGGTACACCAACTGTTGTACTAGTCTTTGCAACATTGAACATCGGTATGACAAAGAATACTGTTTTCTTGTATTATCTACCCCGTAGGCATTCTAGGATCGATAACGTACGAACGAACCAACCAGGATATTTCGTGATGGAGCACATAGCGCATATCTACCCGTAAGCCCGTTCTATTTTTGGGACGAGTGGTGATCAAGCCGAGTGGTCAAGCCCCAAGTCGAATGGCCATAGCCTCATGATGCAAGGAGAGGCGACCAGAAACGCCAACACTGCACGCACCCTGCTGATCGCCTAATAAGCGGAACCAATCAATAGAACAGACGATGACCCCTGTCTCGTCTTTATTTTAACCTTAGCAGTGTAACTGTTGTTCAGCTTCTGCTTAATGAAACACTTTGTATGCAGTGCGGACGAACCTTTATTATAGAACATCTTGGGTATTATTGAAATAACTATACCATTTAGGATCTTTTGACTTTGACTTTGTTTTTCATATACTTATTTACTTCCCCTTAACTTTGATCCTGTCGTCGTCGCTGTGTTGATCAGCTTACTCTATAGTAAATGACCCAACTTAGATCCCTTACATTTATTTCTTCGATATAGCCGCGAATTTGTTTGTTCTGGGTTCGATCCTGCAGACCCGTTGCCGCGGCTGGTTATCTCTATTCTACTAATCTCTCGCCCATCCCGCTTTCGCAGCAACCTATTACATACAAGCGGTCCCTCTCCGCGAGTCATTCTTAGGGCTCCGGTTCCCAGATCGCGTAGCTAAGGCGTTAACGCAACCTAGTGTAATTCCATCTTCCCTTGGCGCGTGCCCAACCTCGCCCTCGGGATATCGGCTTGTCTTTATTCTTTATTTTTTATTTTATTTTTCAAGTCGTCGTCCCATGTGCGTGCGTGTAAGCGGTGTGCAATGGCCATGTCGAAGCGCAGCACGTTCACGACCATCTCGCCGCTGCCAGCGGGCATCACGCGCGAGGTCGTCGTCGACTTCCTGCACAACCACGTGGAGATGATCGACCTGAACCCGCTGGTCATCGAGCGGCACCCCATCGACCCGCCGCCGCACGCCCCCGCCGAGGAGCGCCGCTGCGCCTGGTGGAGCATGACCGACAAGATCTCGTATCTGCCCGGCGGCGTCGTCTCCGGAGACGTCACCTACACGGCTGCGTTCCACGACTTGCCGAGCGGCATCCAGACCCACGTGTACGCCCCCATGGGCACGGATATCCGCGAGCGCTGGACCCTCGGCGGCACGCTGCCGGGGGAACCGCCTGAGCCGGTTGAGCTGGGGATCGGGGCGCCGAGGCAGGGTCTTTATTTACGCGAGGTAAGCTAAGCCAATATATATATAGATAGATGACTATATACTCTTAACTCTGATACTCTTGAGAGGCTGGAACTGATCCATCTATAAGGACGTCGAGCTAAGATGCAACTTCGTCATGTCCTCCTTCGTCAAGAAGACGCTGAAGAAAGCCCACGGCGTCCTGGTGGAGCGGCTCGTAGCCAGCGCTTCTTCTACGGCGCAACGTCAGAGCGTGGGTCATCAACGCACGAGTTCAAGTGTGCAGAGTGGAAGTGTCCATTCGAACCACTCGTCTGTGAACTATCCTGCATATCCCGCTCCCCAGGGACTACAACCCGCAGCACCGTATCATCCGCAGCAGCAGCAGCGACAACAACCCAGACCAATGTCTACCCCTTTCGGCCACGTCACGCCGCCGCCGCCGCCAGGGAACTCGGCACCACACGGCCATGCCACGTCTCACAGCGTAGGGAGCAATAGCTACATACCCGAGCCGCTGCGCGTGAACAAGAGTCGTCCGTCCAGCGGACAGTACCACCACCCCCAGGGTTCGGCGTCACATACCCTCCAGCCGCCAGGGGTAGGCAATAGCAGCTTCCCGGCGGAATTGGAGTGAAGAAATATATTAATAGGTGCTTTCAAGTTGCGAGTTGTGTGTATGCATTGGCGTTGGGATCCGGTATACTCGCATCTGAGCGTTTTTGTTGCGTTTAACCATCTCCATGGGCTGGGGAGTACTGGCTCGGGGGAAGGAATATTTAGCATACCTAAGTAGTCTAAGATGAGATGGGATGGGATGGAGGAGGAGCGGTATATACCCCTGAAGTTGTAGTCACGAATGCCAGAAATTTGAACTATCTCGGCTTGGTTCGATACGCCTGGTCTAGTGTATGGCCGATGTTATCAATACGTGAGGGTGAAGATACAACTCTATATCTAGAACTTCGGCCTCGCCTCGTACACATAAAAAGAAACGCTGAAGATTTGAGCTGAAGATTTGAGTTTCGCAGATCTAGTTCTGCCATCTCACCGTGTTGCTGCAGGGTCAGGTAGGGGTAGTACATTATCACGAGTTGAATCATATGAGAATAAAAATACAAGAAGGAAAGGTTGCCTTGCTTGCCATGTGTCCCGGCCATGCGCCATTTCTTATGAGCTAACCTCGTTGGTTAATCGGAGCTGGCTTGTTACTGTTTTTACAAATCATCAGGATGTGTTGCATTGGATGGTGATCATAAATCAAATTATAAGAGCAGTTAGATACACAAGATACGACGATTTGGACCGGTGGAAAGAAACTAAGTATATTATGAACGCGCAGTGTTTGATTAAATAAATACTCTATATTAATTAACATTGTATGTAGCGTGTGCATGCGTGTAAATAAGTATGTGTTTGTTAAGGCACAGAGGCGGCAGGCAGACAAAAGAAAAAAATCAAATAAAAAAGCTCAGTCCCAGATTCGAACCCCCTCGGATAGGGGCAGGAGATTCGAATCTGAGACCTACGAAAAACCGGCTTCGTTTGGCATCTGCTGTCAAGTCACGTTCTTTTTTTATAGGAAGAACGGTCCAGCATAAGACACCACAGTGGGGTTTTCTCTAACCTCAAGTCGCCCGGGCGAGGGGCGTCGGTTGAAAGTTGGTTTGCAATTAGGATATATAAGCTTTACTTCGTGGGTAGGTACTTGGGCAGGTGTATCTCGTTGCCTGGTGTGCGTCTGCCACCTGCGTGATCAGGTGTTGGGCAACGTGGAGGGGCAGGTACGGGGGAACTGGATTGAGGCTATTCGCAAGGCAGCCGTGCATGTAAGTTAAGACATAGGATAGGGGAGGTCTATTTACTAACATAACGTGTACCATACCACTATAAATCAGGTATCTTCAATTTTGACTACGCCCCAGCGTAGAGGAAGAACTTATAATATTAATACTATCAGAAATGGGCGCCCATAGATAATGCACTCGTGACTACAGAACCACATACATTTATATTTTTAAAGCCAGCAGGTTATTAGTTACATTGAGCTTCGCAATTACCTACCTCTGTGGCGACTTAGGACACTCGAGGACAAACTCGGGACCGTCTTAGCACGGATGGAGTAAGTTCCAAACGTGAATACATATGACCCTTTCTACGTACCTCAGCCATGACAAACGCAGTCGACTTAACAAGGGGGCTCTATTGAGTCTACTATAAATAACTTCATAGGGAGAAAAGCCGTGTAACATAAACTAGATCCAACATAGCCACGTAGTATTATTTATTGTCTGCAACCCTCGTAGTTCTAATATGGGACTTGAGAGCTCCCTTACTCAGCACTAGCGACGTTGAGTTTACCTTGATGATTTTTCTTGGAACTGGTATGGGTTTAACTTCTATGTTAGATTACTATTATCGTCTACTTTTATGTACCTTACGTATCTCTTAGATGAAAGAAAAGGACGGCAGTCTGTCAACGTCTACAATAGGTTAGAGGAGGACCCAAAAAAAGAACTAGAGATTCTCGCCTGGTAACAATTAGAGCAACCAAAATATATTTATATCAAGCTATCCATATTTACAGACCTAGATGTGTTCTAGAAGTGACAGCTCGCTAGTGATGAAGAGATATATCGTATGGAGAAGCTGACATGGCTAGGGGGTTAAAGGGGTCCTAAAGATACTGATACAATAACATCCCAATTCCCTAGGAAAAACCAGTAGTTCTAGCCTCAGGTATATAATTGAGTTGTATCAACCGGCGCAGGTTTACGGAGCACTACATAATAACTTCAGTTATTCGCTTGTCTTGAGTATATGGAGCAATACTTGTAGTTGGTTCAATACGGAGACATCTTAACATGTCTACCTATATAGCTAGAAAACAGCAGCTTGAAACTCGACCTTGACCTATTACGTATAAGGAGAAGGATATTCAAAACGTAGAATAAATTACAGTCTTCAATGTTATCTCCTAGATATCGGAATGACGCGTCTCTTCAGCCACGAATTTGGTCTTCATCTTGTAGAACATAGAATCATTGGTAAACCTAACAGTAAATTTTACGTATCATCATCATCCACCACATAAAATATTTACATAATCGCGTCTCACATTCGGTCAGAGAATCGCAAGCACGCTGCCGGTCAGAAAAGGGCGCAACCAAAGCCACCGGGGAATGTCGAATACGGCCGAAAGTCTCTTCAAGGGACCCGAATATCAGACCACTACGAGCATGAATCTTCACCGTAAGCCATGCCAGTAAAAGGCCCGAGCATTCAGATCGCAAATCCGGGATACGAATAAGAGACTGAAATTGGCGAAGCTCGTATGCCTTCACGAAAGGCGGAAATACATAGTGAACGATAGAGTAATGGAGATCAATACCGCATAGAAGGTGACCCTCCGAATCTAGATCAAGGGGCAAGGTCGACGCGTGTGAAAATCGCTATCACCAGTCAGACACGCAAAGTTCACCGCTCCGGGGACGTCAAGTTATCCAAGCAATACGCCGGTTCGAGGCAGGCATAACGGCCTCAGCTTCAGCGGGCACTGTTCACTGGATGGACGTGGTCTAAACCGGGTAATAAACAACAGCGGACCTACGTGGCCAAAAAATCTAAAACGCGTCGAGTACGAAGTATCCAATAGGCGAAATACGACTGCATATCCACAGGTCGGTGAATCCAAATAGAACGAACCTAATTGCTGCCGTCCTCACTCTTAGAGTTGCGTCGTCATCGCCGTCCGAGTTCTACCCGCTGGAGAATCGAACCTTATTCCAGCCAAGACAGCAGTATCCATGGTGGATGGCTCGGTCATTTCCTAAGTTGAGGGAAGACCTTGTAGCTCACGCGAGACCCTGCCTCATATGTACAGTATGTATGTATGTATGTAGGTAGGTAGACGTTCGTCGAGTAGTGTACGTAATCTCCTGAGCTCTGACCAACGCTCGTAAAAAGGTAGTACATACCTACATACGGATCCGTACGTAGCTGAGCATTTGTGGCTACGCCGCGGCTGATCCTGGAGACCTGCCCTTTCTTCTAGAAGAACTCAGCTTAGAAGATCAGTGGAGATAACCCATTGTCGGCGACACCGGTTACCTGGACGAAACGGGCTGTTGAACTGTACCACGGTAACTCTCACCAATAAAACGCGTGCTAACTCCAGCCTTACTGGGTAAGGGGTTCGTTCAATACGGTCTCGTGACTTAGGATTGGCCCTGCGAAGATATGCAAGGGCTCACCTTGTTGAACGCGCAAGAAGTTCCGAAACGCTGGGTGGCCTCGACCGAAGAGAAGAAAACCTGGATTCAAGGGAGAAGAAAGCGTACGCTAGGCGTTGATTGTACGTATGGATGTGATATACATAGTAGTATGTGAAGCACTCCGATGCAAGGAGGAGAACTGGAGTTATCATTGCATCCGCTAGCTGCAGAGCTTGCGCATGGTTTGGCTTATACATAGACGGCATTTAGTTGCCGATGCACATAGCTAGGCTAGGTCGTATGTTAAGTAACGCAAGCGGCTTAAGCAAGTTCAAGACTGTGCCGACGTAAAATTTCCCACGTGGGATGTCTACCCGTCTGGAGGTTTAGCCGCATGGGAAGTTGGGTCCAGGCACCACAGAGACGGTTTCGGTTTCGGGGTGACGGGCTCATCTTTGTCTCCCAGGCCAGAGACCCAATAGCTCGTGAGTATCAACAATTTGTAGAAACGTAGATTGATCCACGAAGCGTGTATGTACGCATAAAAGTCTAGGTTAAAGAGGGAAAGGGAGGAGAAAAAAACCCCTCGCAATCCTTGCTTAGTCGTTACGGGTCCAAGGGTTTTCTTTTATTTTATTCTTTTACCTACCCCGTTTCTAGAACTATCCAAGTAAACAAATGTACAATACATACATAATAAGCCATTTCGTGCAGTTGGAGGGGTATGTAGTACCGAGTGGTTCGAGTTTCCGGCACAAGGTAGAGACAATCTCCCCTGTCTTGTCTTACTTCCATACCTGCCACGTGTGAGATCGCCAAGTTTTAGGGCTTCTTCTGCTTTCGTGTTGTTTGAGCCATGCCGTGCCGGGTTATGATACACATGGCTAAGGCGAACGTGACTCGCTAAAGACGTTGGCCAAGAGCAGCTATCTAATAGTGCTGTTTTCTGAGCAGGGAATATGGGGGTTAGCGTAGAGGTTAGCTTCGAACAAGACGTGGTTGACGTACGATATCTTATGTAGTGGCGGTGAGATAGGATTGAGGTACAAAATACCTAGTACATAACGTATCAATGGTTCATTATACTCGTATTGTATACACGATATACCATATTTTATATACCTACATAACCTAGGTAATATGATGATGTACATATATGCGCTTGTAGTGTAGTGTATAGTAACCCGGTCACTACACCTGTAGGTACACTAACCAACAATACTTACATACCTTACCTTGGGTACATATGTATGTATAAAAAGTGAAACAAGCCGTCAAAGTCGGTCCACGGGTATCCACCATGTAACTAGGACATGTAACTAGGATACCGTCATAAATCAGGTCGTGTTACATACAGAGGCGCATGGTATGTCCCGATCGATATCCGTAGCGTCGTGAGAAGTTTCTTATGTCGGCGTATGTAAGACGCTAGAAGCCATAGAAATATGTCCTTGTAGCAAATGATTTGTTGTGGCCAATCTGACTAAAGATCTCACGATCGTAGTGGCGATGGGAGTAATAACTTCGACTGTATGTAATCACGGGAAATGGTAGCGTCAGCCCCGTCCCGTCTCATATTGATACCTGGGTACTTCATACTTGAGTAGGCCAGGTTATGTACCTTAGGTAGGTATGGTTAGGTAGTTAGGAAAAAAAAATATGTACATAACAACTCATCACCGTGCGATATGTACTGTGTTTACTACGATTACTCAATTTTGATGGGTAGCGGTGCGCAGTGGCATCATGTGCTGCTCATCGCGTTCGGGGCCGAACCGTACTTGGTTTTGACGAGTCTTATTCTTGCTGAAGCTACATAGTTCTTCGGCTTTGCACTTGCATATGCTCATGCCACTTACACGGCATTAAAAGGAGAGATGGATACTTGACCGGGAGCGCTTGACAGCGACCCTTGTGGTCGCCAGATTGATAGGATAAAATAACAGCAAGGCACAGATACAGATGTTTCTGATATCGGTGAACTGGGATATTGCCGCATGCTGTGTAAGGGCTGATCCGGGGTACACGGGCGCCCCCGTCCAACTCAAAGCCCGGTTCCGTACGTTGTAGATGTCCGCTGAACTATTCCTCAGGAGAGTTAATACGGCTATCGCCGTATATCAGTAGGCAAG